AAAAAAAAATTATATATATTTTTTTTTTTTTGTTTGTTTTTTGTTGGTTTTGTTGGTTTTTGTTTGAATTTTTTTTTTTTTTCACGCACGATACCAATATCAATCAAATATTTGTTTTTTCGAAAGGAGTGAAGTTTGCTTGCATAACTTATTAAAAGGTTTGGCACTCAGTTTCTTGTTGAACTGTTAAACAGAGCAACTCGAAATATGTGAGATAATTTTGGGAATGCGGTAAGACTTTAGAACATTATAAGTTTGTTGCTAAAAAAGCAAATCAAAAAAGTTGAAAAACACAAAACAAGGGAAAGTTTTTTTTTTAATAAAAATAATTAAAAAGTTTGAAACCAAGTCCTTAGTTGCGATTTTATATATATATAAATATTATATATATATATAAAAATATATTTCCTGTTAATCGTCAGCACGTTTCAGAAAATAGGAACTCCGCAAACTTAATTTGACTGCTCACAGAAAGTGTCGACCAAAGGAGTGAGGGGACGAATTATCCTTGGGAAGAGTGCTTTTTTTTATATCACTTGCTAGTCGCTGCTTTTGGTCAGGTGTTCCGTCCGAGGCGCTATTTTTTATATTGAACACGCGTTTAACAATAACAAGGTTTATTGAAATAAGCGTGACAATTAGGACAATTGGAAAACCACAGGAAAGAAACCAGTAAAGTAGAAAGCAGAGTGCAAAGATAAATAGAAGTAAGAATATAACATTAGTAATGAGATAATGAGATTAAAAATAAAATGAAATAAAATGAAATAAAATAAATAAAATAAAATAAATATAAATTAGACTAAATGTTCATCTGAGCCTCAGTGGCTGACGCGTCACTATATATATAGTATTTTAATAATCACAAAATAACTAATAGGGTACACAAACACTCAAAAAAGTTTTTTGGCCAAGTGCTTTTTTAAAAGGAATAAAAAAAATAAAAGGAAGCGAAGAAAGAAAGTTAACTTTATAATAAATTTTTTTTTTTTTGTTTTTTTTGTTGGTTTTTTTTATGGAGGTCGAATGGGAGAGAGGACAAGGCGGTAAGCGACACACAACAAACGGAAGGGCAATAAGTTAGCTGTGTGAGCTCTTTATTTTTTTTTTTGCTTTGGTCCCTCAAGAATCAAAGACGTAAATTTGATTGGAGAGAAACCAACTGAATCCAAGGAAGGACACTCCTATTTATTAAAAAAAAGGATATAACGATTTCAGCCAATCAGAAAATAAATGAGATAATTAGGAGTTAGATAAGGAATACAAAACTTAGTTTGTTAAAGAATTTCAAAGAAAATCAAAGGAAACAAAAAAATGGTAAGAAAAAAAGAAAGTAAAGCAAAAGGGCTGAATTAAAACAACACACAACATTTTCTGTTTATACAATAAATATTAAAGACAAATAATAAGGAGAAATAAGAAACAAGTCACTAATATTTAAAAGGAAGTATTTTAGGACATGTATAAATTGCACTAATTGCACTATAATAATCTTTACCACGCGCGCCAACAATCATGTGGTACGATATATTTTTTTACTAAAATTAAAAAAAATTTTTATAATAAATAAATTTTTTATTTATATTTTATGTATGTATAAATTCTAATATTATTTATTATATTATATTATATTATATTATATTATATTATATTATATTATATTATATACGGTACAATACTGAGACATTGTTTTTAATTGCACAGCCAAAATAGTATCAAAATATGTAACTACTACAAACTACTACAAAACTTATTAAATAACATATTTGAGCATATAGTTAAACAAAAAAAATACCAAATAAAGTAATTGAAACATCTTGCTTTACCTTTATTAGTTGTGTGATAAAATGATTAACAAATATTCTTAAATGAATATCATTATCATGCTTGTAACAAATCATTTCAGATTTGATTCATAAAATAAAAATCTAACCTTGTATTTATTACAGATCATTTTATCAAAAAAAATAGATCGGGAAAATCTATAAAGAAAATAATATATAATTTTTTATTTTCTTTGAAGATGATAAATGGTTAAAAATTTCATTTTTTTAAATTAAAATAGTTCCATAAACAGGAAAGGAATTTATTTTGAAATTCGCGTTTTCCCTTTTTTTGACACGATATTGTGACTTTTTATTAAAACAAAAGATAAGGTATTTTTTTTTCCCAGGGTCAACAGGAAACCAACAATAAATAATTACACGAAATGGGGACAACAAGTTTAATAAAAAATTTATATATAGCGCGTGCGTGGGGAATAATCATTATTGTATCACTTGAACTAACCTTAATTATCATATCTTCCATAAGAAATATATAAAAATATATAAAAATATTTACATATTGTCACGCAAAGTACCGACAACCTACATTACAATTTTCAACTGAAATTACTTTTTGTTTGTACTCTCATAGATTACCCTTCTCTGGAAAGTTGTTCTGGAAAGTGAGGGAATATTTATTTATTTATTTATTCATTATTTTTTTTTTTTTTTTTTTTTTTTTTTTTTTTTTTTTTTTTTTTTTTTTTTTTTTTTTTTTTTTTTTTTTTTTTTTTNTTTTTTTTTTTTTTTTTTTTTATTTTTTTTTTTTATTTTCATTCATTCATTCATTCTAATAATTCCTAATAATTATTATATACATATATTATATATTATATATTATATATTATATTACACATATTATACACATACATTTTTTTTTTTTGAAAAAATGGCGACATAATAAATTATGTGAGAGTCATGCGTAAAAACACAACATAAAGTTCAATCAACAATGATCATTCTCACAGAATGAAAAAGCATTAATATATCATCATACATAATTTGTACGTCGTGAAACGGGAGAAAAATTATTTTAATCTAAAAGACGCGAAAAAAAAAGATAATTCTTAATTAGTTCAATTCTTGTTTAGGCATTTTATCTCGTCGGTCTGGGAGTTGGCGGTCTTTTTCTTTTAAGTTACATCAGGATGTTAACATCAGATTTTCCTTGTCTTTCCAACAGAGTTTAAAAACTTTATATTACTAAAAAAAAAAAAAAAATAAGCAATCCATTTTCAATCATTATCTATACCTAACAAAGTTTTTTATACCGACCGATGACACAATTTTTTTAAAAAAATTAGCGCGATTCATAAAATAATCGCGATAAAATAAAGTGTCACGTAACTGGGAAAAAATAATTATAATAATATTTCAAACTAATGGTAATCACTTACCTTTATTGTTATAGTTGACAAATTTTAAAATTTAGTTGGGGCGATAAAAATCTTTACCGCGTGATACTTTTTTTTATGAAAATAAAAATATTGTTTGTCGTAATATATTTTTGGCGTTTTTCTAGAGAATTCATAATATTGTCGTTGGTTGATCTAATCGTTATTAGTTAGGTTTATGTTTCACTACATTTTTAATAACACTTAAATTAACGAGGATCGTTTTCACTATTTACATAATCGTTTTAAACAATATATTGCATAAGAAGTTGGTCAAAAGACCTCATTAATGACATATACATAATGTACATAAAAAAAATATATATATATATTATATATAATATATATATATATATACAACATACACATACACATATATATATATACAACATACACATACACATATATATATATACATACATACACACATATATATATATATACGTATACATATTATACATATTTATATATTTTCAATCAATTAAAAATATACTCGTTTTAATCATTCAATCATTATAAATACGTTAAGAAATGAAGTGGCTTTCATATTCACTAAATTACATCATTGATTGAAAATCAATAAACAACCTGATAATGCTAATTTGTTAATTGTTATAAAGGATAATATATATTATATATATAAGGAAAGTTATTATAAATTAATAAAACAAAAAGGGATATAAATCGTTCCGATAAAACTTCCAATCAAAATTAAATACGTTCTATCATGCGTTTTATATTCATAAATCGAAAATTATCCAAAAATATTATTTTTTTTTAAAACGAAAATCATATATTTTACCCTTAACCGTTATTAAAGAACTTTTTTCCATTTTAAAATAATGATAATAATTAATGTAAATTATTTATTTATTAAAACAACAATTTTTTAAATTTTTTAACAATCTTACCGATTTTTTAACAATTTTAACGATTTTTGTTTGATTGATCAAAAAAAAAAATTCAAATTGATGATTTGACAGTGGTTGAGGGTCAAAGATGTGATTCGGTTCATGTTCGGTTCATGTTCATATTGTACATATTGTAACAACCATTTACAACTATTGTAATTTTTTTTGTAGAACTGTTAACTGTAGTACCTTTCTTTATATATATATATATATATATATATATATA